AGATGCCTTACTTCTAATTCTCACAAAAATACTTTAAGATAACCTCTTTGGGCCTCAGTTTACATAAAACATATAAAGTATAGTAAAATGGGGCCAATGATAATTACAAGATGAATTGTATCAAGGTAAATGTGTAAACTGAAGCCCAGAGGTTAAGTAAATTGCCCAAGGTTGCAGAACTGGTATATAAAATAAATGAGATTTGGGCCAATATCTGTGTAGTTTCAAAACTACATTCTTTCTATCACCCCCATGCTGCTTCTCACAAAAGTATATTTAAACACTTCTGGATAACTGCATTTCCAATACAACTTACGTATAGGATTTTCCAGAGCCAGTCTGACCATAAGCAAAAAGACAGGTATTGAAGCCTTCAAAGGCTCTTTCTAGGAGTGGTGCTGCTAGCTTCTCATAGACAGTTGTCTGGCTAGCGTAGTGAGGGTGACATTCATCAAAAGACCAAAATGAAACATCATAAATAAAATTGTAGACTTGTTTCATGTCAGGATGTTCCACAGTTAGCTCTTTCCCATTCATGAAGACTACCTGGGATGCTTTTTCAATCTTCTCTCTTGAAAGAAGCACAAAGAAAAAAATCAAGTTACGATAATTATCATGGGTTTTATTCCCACAGAATATAATAAGGACCTCAAAACTATTTAAACAATCTTCCAAGGCAGCATAATTCTTTATTTTTATGTAGAAAATGCACAAAGCAAACCTAATTCTAGTGGGTTTCCAGAATATATTTCTTGTGGCTCCAGTGCCATCAATCAAAGGGAAAATCCCAGATTACTTCCTCCTTACTGTGGGAAGTAAAAAAGTTCCTACTTTTTTACTACTACTTTTATAAGATTTTTTCCTCTTTTTCTTTTCTCTTGAACTATAGCTTTTCCCATCCCACCTACTAGAATCTATCTATGCTCTTCAGTTCAAATCTAGAAACATCTTTATTACACAAATTTGGGAGATGTCAATCTAAATAAAGCTGGCATAAAATACAAATATAATTTCAACAAACTCAGTTGACTAGAAGTTTGAATCGTGTCTCTCTTGGCTACTAAAGATCTCTCTTACTTCCTCTAGATTGTCTCCCTTAAAATCATGAATCTTCATGTACACACCTCTTCCCTTTGAGAAGTAGGTGGAAATCTTTCACTTACTCTAGATGCACGGAAAAACATCATTATTCCTTGTCTATCTCCAGACATATACTCCCCCACCCCTCCATTCCAGACTCTGAGACTCTGCTTTAAATCAGAATTTATTCTGGAAAAAACAGCTGCCTCATCAATCTGATGAGTACTCTACTCTGTCCCTGCTTTCAAGGATTATCTGATGAGTTTGGAATCAGGCACTTGGTCCCTTACTGTGGGAAGTAAAAAAGTTCCTCTTTAGTTTCCTTTCTTGTTAAAGAATAAGTGGGCTAACAACTTTGTTAAGCCCTATCCTACATAGCTGTTAAACATGCCATGCTTACAGGAATATAGTATATTCTATGTCCTTATACTTTAACCAAGACATCTGTGCTGGACATGCTCACAGGCATGTCCCAGCTCTTTTACCTGTTTAGAAAAGTTGTAAGTTGTTAGCCAGTCAGGTTTTAGTTTAGATTATGAGGTCTGACTGTAGCCAACAAATATCAGACACAGCAGTAAGGACAACCCCCAAATGCATAAGGGATAAATTTGTTTGTTTTCCTTTATTCGTTGCACCCTTGTGGCAAGATGGCTAGCGAGAGTACCTTTCCTGCAGTCAAGGAAGTAAAAACCACATTGCTGAAAGCTCTTTTGTCTCAGTGTTATTTTTCTCTGTGGCACAGAGCATTTACTTTCAACACTTACTAAGTGCAGTATAGTCATCCATCTTGCATTTTGTCCCTACCAGCTCCTTCTATTGCTTCTCTTCCTATCATGGTTCTTGAGGCTTTATTAGGCATCCTAATTCTCTCAAACCAACTCACCCTCAGTTCTCTCCTCTTAATATTAACCCATTTGCACAGTACTATATAACTTGCCTTTAACTGCTGACCCCTTACGTTCAAACTGGAGGTTCCTTCCCCAATGCAACGGTCACCATATCCTCTTCTCACTTGCTTAGATACATAGTACTAACCCTGTGAAGTTTTTTATTGTCTCTTAAAATATTTTTTAATTACATTAAAATATTTTAAAACAATTACATTTTGTCACATTCACATTTTGTCATGTCCATCTTTTCCAGCCTTATCCTCAATCTGTGTCTGGCCCACCCATAATCACTTTCAGAGAGAGATTTTTTGCCATCAAAATCAAATCTAATTAATCGCTGCATTTATAACTACTATATAGTAATCAGAAACAATGATGATAATCACCACTTTGGAAAGGGTTTTGAAAGGACCTCTTTAGGGAATGAGTAATTTGTTACAGCTCTTCTTTTTTTTTTTTGAGACACAGTCTCACTCTGTCACCCAGGCTGGAGTGCAGTGGCTGATTTCAGCTCTCCACCTCTCGGGTTCAAGCAATTCTCCTGCCTCAGCCTCCCAAGTAGCTGGGATTATAGGTGGGCACCACCACACCTGGTTAATTTTTGTATTTTTAGTAGAGACAGCATATGATCATGTTGGCCAGGCTGGTCTCAAACTCCTGGCTTCAAGTGATCCACCTGCCTCGGCCTCCCAAAGCACTAGGATTACAGGCATTAGCCACCACAGCTGGCCTGTTGTGGCTCTTTATAGGGATAGGTATAACATTCCAGCAGAGACCTAAGTGACTCATTTAGACTTTTTAAAAGCAATATATCTAGAGAAACTTCAATATACAAAATATGGTGATTTCAATTTTTTAATTTTATAGTCAGTCATCAAAAGTTATCAACACATGACAACTAGACCTAAAAGTTCTTTCTATATAAAAATATTACTAACAAGTTTGAAGATGCATGAAAACACTGACTTTCCAAAGGCAGAGTGGAATTAAAGGTACATTACATGTCACTGCTTGGCTTTAGATTTTTAAAAGGCGTCACATACCTCTTGGTGAAAGGCCTTACGCGTACTGCCACTGTCACTTGACTATTCTCTACTTTTAAGGGGTCTTTGTCTGCAGAGGTGTTCTGATATGCATTTTCTTCTTCAGGAAGGATTGTATTTTCTGCTGACCTTTCCTGTTTATTTGCAAGAAGGGAACTTTTTGGTCGTTGTTTAACTTGAAGGTTAGACATTCTATTCTTCAGTATTGATGAAGCTGGGCTCTTAAGCTGAGGTGTGCTGCACTTTGGTGTCAATTTGTGTTCTGTTATACATTTGGTAGGTGTTCTCTTTTCTAAGCTCCCAAATTTAGTTGAAGTTTTTGCAATTTCCTTCCCAATACTTCTATGATACAAGTTTCCTGTTTCCGACACTTTGATATCCAGCTTGCTCTGAGTAGGTTTCGTTGCCAAGTGTCCTGATCTAACAACTTCAGTCTGACTCAAGGAAGCAATGGGTGTTCTATTACTCGAGTACTTAAGCACAACATTTTCTTTTGCCCTACTGGGGGCAGAAAATGTTCCTTTGTATTTCTTATTAGCCATTATTTCAATGACTTTTGAATCTTCATCTAAAGGTACAGAAGAAGCCACAAAAGAGTTTTTAGCATTATTTACAATCTTTACATTTGTTCTACTTTCCTTAGAAACACAATTACTTTCTATTTTGCTTCCCACATTCGGTGTCATTTGCCACTTTTTGACAGAATTTGTTTCAGCTGTTTTCCACTTTTCTGCAGAATCTGTTTTAGCACGACGTTGTAATGTAAGACATGTTTCTGCTGTTTTTTCAGTTGTGTCTTCCAACTCACTAGCAAGCAAAGATGATTCTTTGTTCCTTGTAGTTCTTCTCCGAAGTGACAATCTACCTACAGGGTTAAGGGTAAGGGGCATGTCTCCTGTTATTTTACTGGCAGAAATAATGTAAGTGCTATTTATGTCTCTGACTTTACCTGCAGATCTCAATAATGGATCATCATTTTCACATTCTGACATATCCGACTTCAAATGCAGCTTAAGTCGGCTACTGTGGGTGAGGTTATTGAGTGATGAACTATTCTGGGAAGAAGGAATATCAAGAATATCGCCGCTGTCATTTCTCTTATAAGTAGTGTGTAATGACATTTTGGCAGATAGTTATTTTTTAAAAGAATGTTAATAAGTCCCTAAGCTCTTCTTTGGACATTAATTTGGTTTCCAGCCATTTCTTAAGTAGTCATTTCTGAAAATATCTGCTAAACTGAAAAAAAAAAAAAAAAAGATTTAGATTACATGGACTACAAACAAGCTTTAAAAATATAGAGAGAATATTCCATTATGTAAGCAAATTCCCAGAGGCATACATTACAAAAGATCACAATCTGCAGCTTAGATACTGCTTCCAAGCAACTTCAGACAAGTCTCACAAAGAATTTATGATAATTCAACAAAGATTGACAAAGTTTCCATTATGTGCCAGGCCTTCTGATAGATACTGTAGACTTCAAAGACAAGAATACAATTCTCGTTTCCTTAGTCTAGAAGAAATATACAGATAAGCCATGTATCAAGCCAAATGTGTCAAGTGACTTAGGAGATGTAAAAGTGCATGTCAGCCTAGATTTCTAAGTACTCCCAGCTTGGGGAGTGGGAAGGACTAAAGGAAACCCTAGCACCTAAATCAGAGAGTGAAGCAAAATGTTTTCACAAATACCTGCTACATGGGTGTTGAATACAGGAATGCCTACAGAGAAAATTAAATTGATTGGTGTCACGAGGCAGATTATTCCCAAGTATTACAGGCAGTAAGTACGATAAGTACTGTAAGTTGACTCATTGTGTTGAGAAAAAAAACACCCAAGATTAGATAAATAGACAACCTGCCCTTTAGCAATAAGACAACAAATTAGACAGGGATGTATGTAAATATACACCAACAATATCTATCAGGCATTAACGTTTTAAAGACAGGGAACAGCCGTGACAGCTAAGATACCTGGTTTCTAGTCAACTTTGCATCCAACTCCTTACAAGGATGTAAACAAGACTTTAAATTTGCACGCAGGGTTCTAACCTGTAAAATGACACTGGTTCAAATTATTGCAGAGATTATTGCTATCGAAGAACAAATTAATGGAAGGTAATTTTTAAGTGAGTCTTTTAAATGTTTACGTAAGTAACAGTCAATCATTACGAAAAAAAAACTTAGTCAGGTTATAAACATCTCCCATCAACGTTTCAACTCAAAATATAGAATCTTCCTGTTATGAAATGAATTTAAGGGCAAAAGGATTCTGAAAATTATCTTGCAACTAAAAACGATTTGCGATTCGCACAAATCAATACGCTTTCTGTTTGAGGAGTTTCCTCATCATATTTTAAAGAGGACTGGAAGAAATACAACGAAAATAACACAATCCAAACCAAAATATCCGGTGATTCCGTTCTTTCCCTGCTAGTCATTACCAGGGGCTCGGACTAAGAATTACCTCTTAATGCTGACCGACTCGGGGAGACTCGGGGTGAAGCCCACGGGCCGAAGCCCGGCTTCCGGGTCCCAGCAGAGACGCTGCCCTGCGCCCTTCCTTCCCGGACCCCCTCGCCGCCGACCTGGAATTCTGAGGACTCGAATGGGGGACCGGAGCTAAGAACACCCGCCCGCAGCGCAGCGGTCGCCCATAGGGAAAGCGTCCGCACGCCCCCTCAGTGCCGATACTTCGCCCCTCCGGAGGGTCCGGCAACTTGGGGCCCCCTCGTGACAGTCCCCACGCCACTCACCCCCTCCACCGCCTGCTCCCAGGAAGGCCGCAATTTGAATGGGCGCCCTGCCTTCTGATTGGCTGCTGGGCGTCGCGTCGGCCGCCGCGCCTTCGCTTCCTCCCGCCCCCCGGAAGCGCTGGTGGTGGGCCTGTGGTAGCCGACTGGGAACGCTGCACTCACCCCACCGTCATCTCCCGGGCGACGCTCCCGCCCCTCCTCGGGTTCCGCTAAAGCGTGGAGCTTGGGCCCCTTTAAATCCGAACAGAGGAAGGGGCGGCGGTCGCGGGCGCCGTGGGCACCTCGTGGAAGCGGGTGTTAAACCAGACGCGTGACAGCGACGCTCTTGTCTGTCTTCAATCTGAAAGAAGCCATTGCATCGAAGACTTCACATCGTAAATGGACATTTGCCCCCAAGTTAATCGTAATAATTGCCTTTTCTAGTGTTTCCTACGCAAGGCGTTCAAGTAGGGAATAGGCTAAATGCCTTACGTGCTTTTTAAACCCTCAGTCCTGAAAATCTTTTGAGATAGGCATTAATGTTATCCCTAGTTTACAGAGGAGGAACTGAGGTCTAAACATGTGAAAGATCAGACAACTAGCGGCGGCATAACTAGGACTTCAAAGTTATTGCCGTACAATTTTACTCTGTTTCAGTAGAAGTTCCCAAAAGTTTTTGTTGTTGTTTTGCTTGTTTTGTTGAGACACAGTCTCACTGTCGCCCAGGCTGGCGTGCAGTGGCGCGATCTCGGCTCACTGGAACCTCCGCCTCCCGGATTCACCCGATTCTCCTGCCTCAGCCTCCCGAGTAGCTGGGATTACACGCGCGCGCCACCACGCCCGGCTAATTTTTGTATTTTTAGTAGAGACGGAATTTCACCATGTTGACCAGGATGGTCTCGATCTCTTGACCTCGTGATTTGCCCGCTTCAGCCTCCCAAAGTTCTGGGATTGCAGCCTTGAAATGAATTGAGAAGCTAAACACACTTCCCTCTTCTATTGCCTGCCCTAGGAACCTCGTGCTGGCCAGATTTCGAAATCCGAAACACAATTACAAATACATACTGAAAAATAACCAGATAAATGAGAAAGACTAGATAGATATTGTAAAGCAATAATGTTTTTTAAACAGGTAAAAACTACAGAGACATTGGAGAAGTATTCCTTGAGATAGAGACCATAAGTAGCTCCAATTATATAGACAAACAAATGATAAAGTAGTCATTCTGAAACTTACTCTAAAAATCATTCTAAAATTCAATTAAAATTAAGGTATAGGGAAGCTATCAGAAAATGTAATATAATATTTATCAGGGCCAGGTGCGGTGGCTCACGCCTGTAATCCTATCACTTTGGGAGGCCACGGCAGGTGGATCACTTGCAGTCAGGATTTTGAAACCAGCCTGGCCAACCTGGAGAAAGCCTGTCTCTACTAAAAATACAAAAATTAGCCGGGTATGGTGGCGCGCCCCTGTAATCCCAGCTACTTGCGAGGCTGAGACAGGAGACTCGCGTGAACCTGGGAGGCAGAGGTTGCAGTGAGCCGAGATTGCACCATTGCACTCCAGCCTGGGGGAGGAGAGCGAAACTCTGTCTCAAATAAATAAATAACAGATCTATGGGAAAATGATAATTCAATTTAGAAACAAAGCAGGATATATCAAAGAAAAGGCAGACAAACTCAAATACATAAAAATTGTAAACATATGTATAATTCAAAATAATAAAATGTAACTGGAAATATACATTAAGCATTACAGAAAATATAAAAACCTTTTTCCATTTTAAAAGGAAAATAGGCTCATTAGTAGAACCAAAAAAATAAATGGATTATAAAAATTGGCAAAGGTATTTCACACAAAAAAGAATTCATGGCTGGATGCGGTGGCTCACGCCTGTAATCCCAGCACTTTGGGAGGCCAAGGCAGGTGAATCACCTGAGGTCAGGAGTTGGAGACCAGCCTGGCCAACATGGCGAAAACCTGTCTCTACTAAAATACAAAAATTAGCCCGGCATGGTGGCACACACCTGTAATCCCAGCTACTCAGGAAACTGAGGCAGGAGAATCACTTGAATCCAGGAGGCAGAGCTTGTAGTGAGCCAAGTTTATGTCACTGCACTCCAACCTGGGCAACAGAGGGAGACTCCAT